TTACAAGAGAGCAGAAGGATCAGATCTGGTCACTAGATCAAAAAAGCCAAGGGCCTTGACCTGTCTAGCACCTTGCAATTCACAGTGGAGTCCTGGGACCACTATCAGCAGTAGCCCTTTGGTGTTTGACAGAAAACCAGGATCTAAAGCCCAATCTCAAAGCTACAGAATTAAAACATGATTTGGACCAGATCTCCCAGCTATTAATATGCAAATAAAGAGAAGTCCTAGTCTAGCATAAAGTTTTTTGAAGTCAGATGGGTTTAGAATATCATTGACTAGCGGGTTGTGCAAATCTGAGACTCAGTTTCCTTACTCAGCCAAATGGGTATAAACAGTCCCACCCATCTGCACCAGCTGGCACGAATAAAAGAACGAATATAAAACATGCATTTATCTGTGCCAATGCTTTAAAAAAAAAAAAAGCACTAGTTGGTAGTTAAGCTATTTTTAAAGCATTTTTGCACAGATGGGAGTGCTCACTCGGGATTTGCAAATGCCATTTTATCTTCAATACCTGACGGGAAAGTTAAATGCAGAAAGAGGCCCCGGAGACACCCAGAATGTTGGATCAATGTCATGGACATCTAAGAGACCACTTGTGTCCCACCAGTTACTCTCATGCAGAAAATTCATCCTGATGTTACCACGTCTTCAAATGTCCCAAGAAAAGCCAGAAACCCAAACTTTAGGTTAGAGGGGAAAAAAAGTATCCTTGTTTAATATGCTATGTGGGTCGAACAAAATTCATCTGGTAGTTGAGTGTGATCCCAGGGTCTGTGTTGTGTGACCAGTGCCTTAGACTACTTCATACCAGGCAGTGTGAATGTCAGAGGCAATGGGCCCAATCCCAGCATCCTTCTCCCTAGCCTGGTATCCTTAGATAGGTTATGAAACAACTGGGAACCTCAGTTTCACAACCAGGAAAAATGATTACATATACCTCAAGGGGTTTGGTGAAGATAAAATAAAAATATTGGCTACACACAGGAGCCCCTCAAGCATGTATAATTGCACATGTTAGTTTGTGTTGTTCTGTGATGTTGTTTTAGTAGTATTATTCATTATTATTTGTGTATGTGTGCACGTGTGCTAGGGCTGGGAACTCAGAGCCTGGGCACTGTCCCTTAGGGTTTGTGGATTTTTTTGTTCAAGGCTGGCTAAAGCTCTACTTCTTGAGTACAACTCCACTTCCCACTTTGGGGTAGTTAATGGGAGATAAGAGTCTCCTCAACTTTCCTGCCTGAGCTAGCTTTGAGCCTTGACCCTTAAATCTCAGCTTCCTGAATGGCTAGGATTATAGGCCAGAGTCAGCAGTGCCTGGCTACTATTGCTATTGTTATTAATTGGTTCATATGCATGTATGGAACATGCCCTCACTGTACACAAAAAGCCATTTTGCTCTCCCTGCTCTCACACTGCTTGCAAATGAGCAAGTGTAATTGGCCCACTCAGCCACCCTGTAGCAGATACAGTATGTGCCCAGTTATTAATGAGTGTGTTCTGGTCACAGTCCACAAAGCTGCTTTCCTCTTAATGAGCATCCTCTCTGCAGCCTAATAGCACTATGAAGTGATATTTCTTAGGAGATAGGTACCCTGTACAGGTAGAAGAGAAAGTTCTAGCTAAGAATTACCGCCTGTTGTGCTCCAAGATACAGAAAAACTCTTGCCTGTTGTTTTCTTCTTACAATTTCTAAAAATCTCCATATTTGCTGTCCAGGGGTAGACAGTAGAGTGACAATATGATCAATGGGGAAAATCTCTCCCATACAACAGTTCAGGGGGTTTGTTGTTGTTGTTGGCCAGTCCTGGATCTTGAACTCGGAACCTGGGTGCTGTCTCTCAGTCTCTTTGTGCTTAAGGCTAGTGTTCTACCACTTGATCCACAGAGCCACTCCTGGCTTTTCTGAGTAGTTTATTGGAGATAAAGAGTCTCATGGATTTTTCTGTCCAAGCTGGCTTTGAACCACAATCCCCAGATCTCAGGCTCCTGAGTAAATAGGATTACAGGCGTGAGCCACCAGCACCCCAGCTAACAGCTCAGGTTTTTGACAAGAACTTGAGCATCTCTCCTCCTTTAGGAAAGACTCCAAGAGGGACAACATTTTGTCAACCCCAGTGCTAGGTGTTTAAACTCAAGGTCTCTCATCTTACAAGGTATAACTCTTGTTCTAGTACAGGCTGGGTAGGATTCAGTGGATCTAGTCAGGGGCCTGAGGCTGTCCCTTCATAATAAGTTCCCAGGAGACAGGCGGCTCTTGGTCCTACTCCAGCTTGAATCAGCAAGATTCTGCTCCCTTGCTTCCTTCAGGTCTCTGCTCAAATGTCATCTCTTTAGAGAGTCCCCTCCTGACTTACCTAAAATGTAATTATGTGCGCAATGGGGTCCTGAATCCTATCTATCTGTTCTTGGCCAGATCCCCAGTGTACCAGTCATGTACCTGGCTCAGAGCAAGCAAAGCAAAGATTTGTTGGGTGGAGAGATCCCAGGCTGGCAGGTGAGGGAAAGAAAAACTCAGAGAGCCTAAGTTATTTGTTCACACAGGGATTCAAAGCCAGAGCAAATGACAGCTAAGCTCTGTCTGCACTTCAAAGCCCCAGGTATCTGCTCCATGCCAGAAGGAAGCAAAGTTTATTTACATCGCACTTCCTTCCTAGAACTCATGGCCTTTGTGATGGGAGGAGTAACACAATTCTGTCCTGTTTTTAAGAAATGCTTGCTATATGGACGATGGGCTGGAGGGGACTGGGGCAGAAAAGAAGCCAGTTAAGAGGATACAGCAACTGGGTGCCAGTAGCTGATGCCTGTAATCCTAGCTACTCAGAGGGCTGAGATCTGAGGATTGCAGTTCAAAGCCAGCCCAGGCAGAAAAGTCTGTGTGACTCTTATTTCCAATAAACTATCCCCCAAAAAAGCCAGAAGTGGAGCTCTAGCTCAAATGGTAGTATGCTAGGCCTTAAGAGAAAGAAGCTCAGGGATAATGCTCAGACCCTGAGTTGAAGCCCCAGGATCAACACCAAAAAGATAAATAAAAGACACTGCAGGGTTTCTTGGTATTTGGGGGAAAGAGGTTACAAGCCTCCAGTCTCTCTCAGACCTTTTCCTACACAGGTACGAGTCTCTCCAAGGATTCACATCTTTCCAGAGGCCAATGTGGAGCTCCAAAGAAAACTATGCCATAACCCAGAAATGCTCTGACAAAGTTCACCCAAAATTATGGCCATGGGGTGGGACTCTAAGGCGGGACAGGATCAAGACACAGCTTCCTGTCCCTGTGGGTCAGGCGATGGGTTGAAACACCATGAAAACGCTATTCACTGCACAAAAAGAAGCCTTTCTGCTGTGAGCGGAGAAATTGCTTCAGCATGAAAAATCCCTCGGCCTGATGAAAGGTCTCTTTCCAAAAGAAAAGCTCCTTGCGGGTGGAGAATAAAACTCTTGTCTTGCCATCACAATCAGGGGCTATAAATGGTTCAATCTCGTCAAGAAGCATGATCGTCAAGGTCTAAGCACCTGGCATTGCCAAAAAAAAAAAAAAAAAAGAGGCCACTTAGATCTCCTGGGCAGTGGTTGGAGGGAAAATAATGGCCAAAATCAGTGACCATCTACTATGTACCTGGACAAACCAAGTTTGGGGTATTTCATTTAATCCCTGCAGTGAGTGCCTTTGTTATCCCTCTTGACCACTAGAGAGCTAAGGAGAGTTAGAGGCTGACAGGTCAGAGATCACACAACTGGGGAAAAGAGAAGCCAGGTTACACACCCACACCAAGACACTACCTAACCAGGCCGCAGATCAAAGTTGAGCCACAGAGGGTAGGGGGAGGAAGGGACATTGGAAATCACCTGCCTCTCCTTTCATTAGCTCTATTACAAGGAAGGTAGAAGTCAAAATAGAAGCCATGAGCATGTCTGTCATACTGGATTCATGCCCCTATACATGACCTACTTTTACACTTGGGACACACGAGGGCCCGTCTGGGAAACACGTATTTGAGCTACAAAATTGGCACTACTGACAGATTCCTTTGCCGGCCCATTACATATTTATAAGGTTGCCTGCCCTGACTCTCACACTCAAGTTATTAAATGCTGGGGAACCATTACGGCTGGGCTCCTTGCTCTGAAACAAAGGCAGATAAGCTGCTGAGCCACTGGAAGCAGGGACAAAAGCACTTCATTTCGGAAGGGCCAGTTCTGGAAGTTTCCTTATAACTGGGTGTCCAGCTCACAATACAATCAGAAGAAAGGAGGGAAGAGCAAAGAGAGGAGGGGGAAAAAATAATCACAGCCCCCTTCAAAAGTGATGAGGCAGACCTGCTAACCTGGTAGGGAAGAATACCAGACAACTCTCTGTCCTCTATCACCAAATTGCATCCATGAAGTTGCCAAAAGGGGATCTACCTCTTTAGGTCACCAAACACAGCCCGCAGGCCTGCACCCCAACTTTTCCCAACCACCAGATTCACATCGCGGGTGGGAGGGGGTCGTGCACCCAGCTGCTTCTTTGCTCAAACAGAATTACCCCACTCCAGGCTGAGACTGCCTGAAGTCAACACTCAAAGCACATTAATAAGAAACAGCTGGCCACCAAGAGGGTTGACACAGCACAGACGGGCAGCGGTGGATTTGTGGTTGGGACCCAGAGTTTCAGGGGCTGAATTAGAAACACCAGCCAGTTTCCCAACCTCCCCTCCCCGCACCCGCTGTGCCGGTGGCACATGCCCAGGTTGAACTGTTGGGGGCCCTAAGTTCACCTACACACTTGGTGGGGGTGCTGACACTTTTTCAAGCTTGCCAATCTCAGGAAAATGCAGCCCTGAGCCGGGCCACTTCCACCTTCAATATTTGTAGCAGATGTAGCCTGGCTCTTAAAGGAACAGCCGCTTGCATTCTTTCCATGTGACTTACAAGTCAGCTTTTCAGGGAGGGAATTTGATTTTCTTGTTCTTTTTCCCTCCCCTCTCTGCCCTGTGGTGCGTTCAAAGCCATCCTACCTCCATTTATGCAAGGCGAAGCCGGGACACTGGTCACCGCAGGCGTTACATGGCTGGCCTCTCTCTATCCGCCCCAGGCCGGTCAACTTCAAAACAAAAAGACAGCACAGACATGTCTCCACCTCAGGGCTCCCTGCGGAACTCACTCCCCAGTGTCCTCCCAAGCCCTCCTCGGTGGGGCTGGACTCCCAACTGCCTCTCTCTGACGGAGGGGGAGCCTGGGGCTGGTGTTGCCAGGGACCCCGGGAAGGGGGCAGGGTCCCCGGCCTGGGGGACCCTGTGCGCGGATCCAGGTGGGCAGAGGTCCGGCCGGGGCACCAAACCACTACGGAATGGCCTTGACTGTGGCTTTGTCTCCCCTAGACACCTTGGCCACGGGTTTCCAAGAAACAAAAGCCAAAGCCCTTGCTGTTCCACACACACACCCCGAGTTCCCCGCGAGGGGCCGCGGGGCGCGCGCCCCGGGACCAGTGTGCGCTTCTGAGAAGGTGGCAGCAGAAGACACCCCAAAAAGACCACCCCCAAGTCCACTTCTGGGCTAGGGCTGGGACTCGGGGGAGACGCGGGAGGGCTTCCCGGGGGCTCCCTGGACGGTGACACGGTGGCCCGGAGCCCGGGCGCGCCCGCCCCCCGCCCGCCGCCCGCCGGGCCGGCTTACCTGGGGCCACAGGTGCGCGGCCGCGGGGCGCAGCGGGGCCGCGCGCGGGCGGCCGGCTGCAGGGACCCGGAAAGCGGCCCCGCTGCGCTCGGGGACACTCACCGAGCGGCTGGAGAGTCTCTTCCGTGAGCTCCGGCCGAACATGGCCGGGCACCCTCCGGCAACAACGCCGCGCCGTCCGACCGTCCGTCCGTCGGGTCCGTCTGTCCGTGCGCCCCCCCACCCCGCGCCTTGGGGAGGGAGGGTGGGTCGCCTAGGCGGGCACCCCCCTCCACCCGGTGGCCCGCCGGCCTGGCTGTCTCCGCCTGCCTGGCAGCCCCCGGCCGGCTCCCGAGCGCACGCCTCCCGCGCCTCCGCCCCCTCCCCGTCCACGCCCCTCCTCTCTCCCGCGTCCCCGCCCTCGCCGGGATCGCCCCGCGGTCCACCGGCCCTTCCCGCCCCTCCCCGCCCCAGCTCTGGCCCCCTTCTCCCCTCCCCTGCCTCCCGGCCCAGCCAACTCCAGAGACTCACTTCCTATGCCCACCCCGCCCCAAGATTCTGCCCTCCCCGCCAGCACACACACGCGGGTCCCCGAAGTCAGGGGCGGGGAGGGACCGCGTCCCCGACCCCATCTGCAGTGCAGGGGCGCGGGGGGGGGGGGCGGGGGGGAGGACAGATGAGGACTGAGGGGTGGCGGTTTGGGGGTTTGTTTTTTTTTTCCTTTTGCATTGTGCTCTGAAGTCACCGATGGTAAAAGTTGATCTCTTTAGGACACGGCCACGCCCCGTGGCTGACACATTCCTACAGCCCACTGAGGCACAGGCACAGAATAGTCCCCCGTCCTGGTCTACACGTCTGTCCCCAACCTGGCCAGGGCTGGAATCCACAGGCTGCTCCTTAAGTCATGTCTGTGTACTCATCTGTGGGCTGGTTGGTGATGGGTCCTCATTGTTCACCTCTTTGTGCTTTTGTCTTCTGATCAATAATTTGTTAAAAGGGGTGGGGTGGGGGGTTTAAAAAACAAGAGGCATAATCAATTTAACAAGACGATTAATTGTTGAAAGGTGAGTTGGCAACATGTATGCTTACACAAAACTCAGGACCTATTACAGATTAGCTGTCACTCTCACACACACACACACACACACACAGAGGTTGTAATTCCGAGACACAGGCCGTGGCATCCACTTGTCATTGGTGTTTCAGCTCAAATATCACCTCCCCTGAGAATACTCCTGACCCTCTGTTACATCTCCCTCACATTCACACTGAATGTAGCCTACACTGAAATGATCTGTACTGCTCAACTTGTCCCTCACATCCAAACCCAAGTTGCATGACAGAAAGGACATTGTCCGCCTCACTTCAGGCTCTTTAGAGCCTGAACGGTGCTTTTACATCGTAGCTACTCTATAAATATTTGTCAAAAGAAGACATTCTTCTCCTTGTTGACAAAGATGACTGTGTGGCTTGACTTGTCACAAAGGAGACATTGAACCTGAGTGAAGGAAAGCTGTCTGCCTGCTGTAACACAGCAAATCAGTGGCGAGATAAGTCCAGTCGGACCTCAAATTCAAAACGATAGGGGGATGCAATTCAGATACCCCATGTGAATCATTAATGTTAGCAGGCCAACTGCAGTCCTTTGACTGTATATGAAGTTCTGTTTAGTTTCTGAGACAGAATTTTGCCTCACGAACAAAATTTACAGGGGCACCAACAAACTCACATGACATTTGGTTCTTTAGAATATTGTATATTACATGCAATTTCCTAAACAACCAAAATTAGTGCTAAAAATGCCATGATGTACCCAGTGTGGTAGCTCACACCTGTAATCCTAGGTGGAAGACTGAGATGAGAGAACGAAGGTTTGAGGCTTCTCTGGGCAAAAGCTCAAAATTCTATTTGGGAAATAAAGTGAAAAGGGCAAAGGCATGGTCCAAGTAGCACACGGTCCTGTGTTTAAACTCCAGTACCATCAAAAAATAAAAATAAAAATTTAAATCCATTCTCCAGGAACAGAATATCAATTATTTTAAATAACAACAGGATTTCACTTCTTACTACCCTATCCCACCCTAATTCTGGCCCCCATAAGAATGCTTTGAACTCAGACAGCATAAATTGAGTACCTCAATATTGGTTTTTATCTTCGTAGTGACCAACATCACATCAGACAGTAAATTCCCAGTGTGAAGGCCATGACTTATTTATCTCTTTATTTGCCCAGGCCCAGCGGAGTCTGGCTCATCTCCAATTCTAACAAGCATTCACTAAATGACTGAGTAAAAGGCAGTGATTTCAGTAGCTTTCGTGGAGAGGGGGACTTAGCAATGATGCAGGTCAGTGGCAGGCAGCATGCTCACCTGGCCTGCTCAGCAGGGCTCCTACACAGTCAGCTCTGCCCTGCATGTGGCCTGGTATAGGCAGGAAAGTAGAGAGGGGAAGAGAGGAGAGCGGTGCTCAGATTGTGATGATGGACATCATCTAGTTGTGTTTTAATTAATTTTTTGAAGTGCAGGTCAGTCATAGCACAGGCCATTGCAAATTTGCAACAGATGGAAGGCAGGTAGGTGTGCTGGGTGGCACCTTCCTCAGATTTCCTCAGAGGAGCTACTGGAGCTGGCAACAGTCTTCTGTCTCTCTCTCATTCCTAGATCTATGTGAGGTGATCTGAATACCTTGGGCACATATTTTGGGATTTTGTTGTTGTTTTGTTTTTTCTAGTTCCAGGCCTTGAACTCAGGGCCTAGAGACCATTCCTTAGCATTTCTTGTTGTTGTTCAAGGCTAGTCCTCTATACCTCTTGGGCCATACCTCTACTTCTGGCTTTTGCTGGTTAATTGGAGATAAGAATCTCATGGAGTTTCCTGCCTGGGCTGGCTTTTGAACCTCAATCTTCAGATCTCAATCTCCTGAGTAGCTAAGAGTTTAAGTATGAACCATGCCACTAGTGCCCAGCTCAGGTGGTTCTTATTAACTTTGGTTGTTTGATTAAGTCTTGTGCACAAGGCTGCAGCCCATCCGGCAAATAGGGCTTTAAGAGTGCCTCTCCTGGCATGTTTTCCTTAAAAAAAAAAAAAAAAAAAAAAAAAACTTCTTGTGGTCTGTCCAAGCAAAAGCCTGTATTGTACGGTGTTATTTTACACCTGAGACTTGAATAGCAGCACTGTCTTCTCGATCTATTCAACAACCACTTTATCTTGCTTAGAACTAAAGATCTTTGCTGTCTGCTGGCAGTAAACATCAGGCAATTTTGTTTTGCATTTGCCATCCATAGGCACCTTTGATCTATGTTTTCCTTCATCTCTCAAGGCAATAAAACTACTAACAGAGCATGAAGAAATTCTCAATACAGGATTGGCAGCATGGGGACATATCTCTGCTAAAATATGAGCTAGAAACCAAAAGCTAGGCTAGAGTGTTTGGCTTTAGTCTTAAAATGAGCATTAAGAAACTAGAAAGAAACCGGGGTCTGGTAGCTCATGCTAGTAATCCTAATGGGAGGCTGAGATATGAGGATCGTGGTTCAAAACCAGCCAGGGCAGGAAAGTCTGTGAGACTTATATCGTCAATTAACCACCGAAAAGAAGGAAGTGGAGTTGTAACTCAAGAAGTAGAGTGCTGGCCTGGAGTAAAAAAGTTAAGAGATGGTACCCAGGCCCTGAGATTAAGCTCCAGTACTAGCATTGAAGGGAGGAGGAGGAGGAGGACGAGGAGGACGAGGAGGTGGGGGAGGAGGGGGCGGAGGAAAGAAAGAGAAGAAAGAATGAAAGAAAAAACAACAAAGGAAGGAAGGAAAGGAAAGGAAAGGAAGGGAGAGAGAAAGAAAGAAAGAACCTGGAAAGGGGCCAGGAGTGGTGTGTCACCACTGTAATCCCAGCTCCTTGACAGGTGGATTTCAGGAGGATTGCAATTCAAGGACAGCCTTGGAAAAAAGTTAAGGAACCTTCCTCAACAAACATGCTGGCCTTAGTGGTGCATGGTCTGTCATCCCAGATACAAAGGAGCCATAGGAGGATTGTGATCTGAGGCTGGCCCGAGGCAAAACTGTAAGACTCTTCCAAAAATAGCTAAAGCAGGAAAGGACTGGTGATGTGACTCAAGTGGTAGAGCATCTATCTAACAACCACAAGGCCCTGAGTTACAGCCAAAATAAAATAAACTAGGAAGACATACACAACATAAAGTGGTGGAATTATAAAGATGTGTCCTTTCTACCTTATAAATCTATCTACCTATCTATCTATCTGTATGAAATATGTGCTCGGTTTACATTCAGAAACAGATTTACCTAAAATTGACAAATTGTGCCATGGGGTTTTCTTATTAGAAATTAAATGTGTATCAGGTAGAGAAAAAGCCGTGTCTCTTCTCTCCTTGACCCATATACAAGTGCCTGTCCTCTCTATTTTATCTGAGTCTGTTAAGCAGGTGAGCTAGTGGCTTGCTGTTGCCACATGTGTGCTGCAAACCTCAGAAATGTGCCCCAGAAAGTTCATTCTAAAGCAGCAAGGAAGAACACGGTATCTAAGTACAGCCTCACCTGGTCCATAGTTCTGTGATGTACTAGAAACAAATCTGAATATTGCAAAAGAGTTAGAATCTCCCTGACACCCTGAGTTAGCACTTAGAAGCACCATCAACGTATCCTCTACTTCAGAAGACTACACATGGTGTTTGGAAGAGAAGATTTAAAACCAAGGGTGAGAGGGATGGGAGGGGCAGGGGTGTTGGGGGGTGGCTGACTGGACAGAGAATTCTCACTTAGTGATGGGTTATGTGGCTATTTCTTTCTTTCCACCAGCACTTTTATGTAGTCTGAAAATTTCCCTATCTAGGCATGAATCAGACACACATATATTTGAATATATGAATATATATCCATATGTATGTTGATACATAGACATACATATCTATATATGGGTATATATTTATATATTTGTCTATATACAGACACACATGTCTGTATACATATATATATATATATATATATATATATATACAGAAAAATCAGGGGAAAAACTGGAATAAAGAGACTACTGGTGGGCTAATATGTCACAGAACACTAAGTCATCTGAAGTTTATGAATATAGTCCAATACATTAAAAGAAGGCAAAAAATATGCCAAACAATTTAAGTTTTCTCTTTGAAAAGACTTA